ATGCATGGACTAGTTTCTCAGCATCACTCTGAGACAGGATGCTCCTGATTTTGGCAATATTCCGAAGATGAGAAAAGGCTGTCCTACATGTTTGTTTTATATGGGAGTTAAAGGACATATCCTGATCAAAAGTAACCCCGAGGTTCTTTACTATGGAACTAGACGCTAAGGCAATACCATCTAGAGTAAATATGTGGGCAGATAGAGAGTTTCTGAGGTGTTTAGGGCCAAATACAATAATCTCAGTTTTATCTGAATTTAAATGAAGGAAGTTACAGGTCATCCAGACCTTAATGTCCTTCAGACATGCCTGGAGTTTAAGTAACTGATTTTACAGCTGTGACACTAATACACACACCTCAGGCTGCCTTGTATGATAGAATTTATAGCAAATGACTGGCAGAGAGGCCGAGAGTATATCATCTAGCAATAATTTAAGCTTGATTTATAAAAGTCAGCTCAGTCTACAAAACTAACCACATACATGAAACTAAAAGGATGCGACTGCAATGCAAAGTGTTTTACTCACTGAATTTCTGGCTATAAAACAATAGACCTTTGAATTTGTCAACTCAACTAACTGGAGAATAACAGGTGGACAACTCTGTCGTATATCAGGCAGGGAAGGACTCACTTTGTTTGGACAAACTCTCAAGTCTGTCTCGCTCTTCAGTCATTTCATGGAGGTTGGCTTTCAGCTGGTCCCTCTCTCCTGTCATGGAGGGAAGTTCATTGTTACTGGCCTGCAGACGCTCAGCCAGGTTTTCTTTGACAGCGGAGAGCTCTACAGCTGAGTCATGGTCTGAAACGAATTAAGGTACATGTTTGAAAAACAAAAATCACTTTATGCTTTCATACTAATACTGTCTCTCTGCTTCAGCCCAAGATCAAAATGTTTGAACATTTTGCTAGATGGCGATGAGAGATGTTCATAAATCAAGCCAAGTGTATGTCAGTGGTTCTCATTCTGGAGGGAGTGATGATCAGGGGACTGATCATGATTAAGAAGCGGGTTGTCTTACTCACTGAATTTTTGGCTATAAAAGACACACAATAAATCAATCTTAATAACAGATGAAAGGACTGTCCCTTGTCCAGACCTATGAATCTGTTAACTCTACCAGCTGGCAGGGAAGGACTCACTTTGTTTGGACAAACTCTCAAGTCTGTCCCGCTTTTTAGTCATTTCAGTGAGGTTGGCTTTCAGCTGGTCTCTCTCTTCTGTCATGGAGGAAAGTTCATCATTACTGGCCTGCAGACGCTCAGTCAGGTTTTCTTTGACAGCGGAGAGCTCTACAGCCGAGTCATGGTCTGAAATAAGTCAAAGTGCAAGTTTCCAAAACACAAAACCCCCGATACTTTAATACTGATCCTGTCCATCAACTTCAGTCCAAGATCAAAATGTTTTCACATTTTCACTTTACTCTTGCTGTGAAATTATCACTGAACGATTCGGCAAGTATGTGCCCCATGTATGACACAAGTGTAAGAAACTATCATTTTACATTTTACTGTGAATATGGAAAAATTGCTGCTGTGATAGTTCTCTAAACTGGTTAACATCGTTTGAATTGTGATGTTCAGTGCTTGTTTGTCAAATTTGGTTTGAAATTCCATTCAGAATGCAGCACCAAATACTTTACTTTGCACATATTTCGGCCAGTGATTGTTAGAAAGTTAACTCATTAAAACCAGACTTACAGAGGACACCGAGGGTGACGAGTCCAACCAGCAGGAAAACACTCAGCAGCCCCAAACAGAGAAAATCAACTGAATGAAACCTCCTCTTAGAACTCCTCGGACCTGAACACAGAAATAAACCAAGAACTCTTACAGCAGTAAGGATGAAAGACAATAATACACATTCTATTTATCTGTTTGTCACTTCATTCTCACCAGTGTGATTCGTTGAACGTTTTGGACTGGCAGGTTCAATATTGGCATAAATTTCTTCCATTGCTTGTAAGGATGCTGATTGTTCCCCAGATGATCAGCTCTGCCTGTACAATGTGAATGTCCAATAGGTTCTTAATTTATCGACTTCAGAGGAAGTCAAATACTTTGGCAGTAATGAACAGAGCAACCACATACACACACACATGTATACATACTTATATATTCAGTATATGCAAAGTCTGAAATTAGTACAAGTACAAGTACAAGAATGTACACCCACACATACACAAGCTTCTATAATGAGTTTAAAAAGAGGAAGTATCACTTTTAACACCATCTTGTTTTCTGTTGTCTCTTCTTGGCAGTGACAACCACACCTCTATTGTCTCTTACTTGAGAAAAAGAGACTGTGTTTGTTTCTGAAGAGGGTCATTTCATCTCAAATCAACTGA